CGGGACACCGGAGTTGCCCAGGACTACGCGCAGCAGCTGGAAGTTGCACTACCCACGGAAGAGCAGCTTGGCGCAGCTTCTCTTGAAGATGGCTGGAGGGACATCCGTTCAGCCATAGGTAGTACTGCTGTAGCGGCACTAGGTACTGCAATCCCGGACCGAAGAAATGACTGGTTTGACGGCGAATGCAAACTGTTAGTAGAGGAGAAGAATGCAGCACGGGCGAGAATGCTGCAACACCGCACGAGATTGAATGTGGAGCGATACAGACAAGCGCGGAACAGACAAAACTCGGTTTTCCGAAGGAAGAAGCGTCAGCAGGAAGATCGAGATCGCGAGGCGATGGAAAATCTGTACCGCGTAAACGACACACGGAAGTTCTACGAGAAGCTAAATAGTTCGCGCAAAGGCTACGTGCCGCAAGCCGATATGTGCAAGGACTTGGACGGTAACCTTCTCACGAACGAGTGTGAGGTGATTGAGAGGTGGAAGCAGTACTATGACGAGCACCTCAACGGTGAAGCAGCAGAAAACGAAGGTGGCACGGCAACAGACCTTGGAGCACGCGCAGAAGACGACAGGCTACCGGCCCCTGATCTTCAAGAAGTTGAGGAGGAGATCGGTCGGCTGAAGAACAACAAAGCAACTGGTGTAGATCAACTACCAAGTGAGCTATTGAAATACGGTGGTGAAGCACTGGCTAGAGCGCTGCACTGGGTAATTGCCAAGATTTGGGAGGAGGAGATATTACCGGAGGAGTGGATGGAAGGTGTCGTATGCCCAATCTACAAAAAGGGCGACAAGTTGGATTGCTGCAACTACCGCGCGATCACACTGCTGAGCGCCGCCTACAAGGTACTCTCCCAAATTCTATGCCGCCGTCTGTCACCATATGCAAGAGAGTTCGTGGGGCAATACCAGGCGGGATTCATGGGTGCCCGCGCTACCACGGACCAAATTTTCGCGATTCGGCAGGTTCTGCAGAAATGCCGCGAATACAACGTGCCCACACATCATTTGTTCATCGATTTCAAATCCGCATACGACACAATCGATCGAGATCAGCTATGGCAGATTATGCACGAGTACGGATTTCCGGACAAACTGACGCGATTGGTCAAGGCAACGATGGATCGAGTGATGTGCGTTGTTCGAGTATCGGGGACACTCTCGAGTCCCTTTGAATCTCGAAGGGGGTTACGGCAGGGTGATGGACTTTCGTGTCTGCTGTTCAACATCGCGTTAGAAGGTGTGATCAGAAGAGCTGGGATAGACACGAGTGGCACGATATTCAGGAAGTCCATCCAGCTCCTTGGTTTCGCCGATGACATTGACATTATGGCACGGAACTTTGAGATGATGGCGGAAACGTACATCAGACTGAAGGCTGAAGCTAGACGGATTGGACTTGCCATCAACGCATCAAAGACAAAATATATGAAAGCAAGAGGTTCTAGGGAAGACAATGTTAGCCTCCCACCCCGAGTTCAGATTGACGGTGACGAAATCGAGGTGGTCGATGAGTTCGTGTATTTGGGCTCACTGGTGACCGCCGAAAATGATACCAGCAGAGAAATTCAAAGACGCATTATGGCAGGGAATCGTGCCTACTTTGGACTCCGGAGGACACTCCGGTCGAATAAAATTCGCCGCCGCACGAAGTTGACTGTCTACAAGACGCTGATTAGACCGGTGGTCCTTTACGGCCACGAGACCTGGACTATGCTCGTGGAGGACCAACGCGCCCTTGGTGTTTTCGAACGGAAGGTGTTGCGTACCATCTACGGTGGAGTGCAGATGGATGACGGAACGTGGAGGAGGCGAATGAACCACGAATTGCACCAGCTGCTGGGAGAACCATCCATCGTCCACATTGCAAAAATTGGGCGACTACGGTGGGCTGGGCACGTCGTAAGAATGCCGCACGACGACCCAGTGAAAATGGTTCTAGAAAGCGACCCAACAGGAACAAGAAGAAGAGGCGCGCAGCGGGCAAGGTGGATCGACCAAGTAGAAGGTGACCTGCGGACCCTTCGCAGACTACGAGGCTGGCGAACTGTGGCCATGGATCGAGTAGAGTGGAGACGACTTCTTCAGACAGCAGAGGACAACAAGGCCTTAGCCTGATTGGTAAGGTAAGTAAGTGTTGTGATAGGAGTACCAAGGTTTTACTATATGAAACCCAAAACACTAGGTTTTATCATAAAAATTATGATTCTCATGCACACACATACATATAGACTAATGATAAAACAATGACAGTTAAACAAGGTTTGGAAAACACAGGTAAAGTAAATAAAAATAAAAATAAACTACTACTTCTTACAATAATTTCGCTAAAAATTATAGAAATTTCATATCAAATTTAATACCAAGGATCAAATGCAAATTTAAACACACAAGGTGACATAAGAATAAAAATGTAAAACACCAATATCGATGTGTTAGATTCTTATACAGTATTCAAGAAATTATTTTGGAAACCATCCATATGCTTACAGCCATTTAGAGCACTGTATTGTTATTGAGAGGCTTTTCGTAGTTTTTAATATAGTTTCTAAATTTCATGTTTTTTTATATGTATAACGATCTTTAGAGGTTTCTGAGGTGCAAATTTGAAGTTCTTTTCAAAGTCAGCTCTTGATTGATGTCAAGATTTTAATGTCATGAACTCCATTTGAATCATCTTAGAATATTTTTAAAGTTATTTTCAAAATTCGGTTCATTAATTTTGGAATTCCCTGCAGAATTCCCATCAAGTTTCTTTCAAAACATTCTTCGATATTTCTGTGAGAGAATCACTCTAAAGATTCTCTTGTGATACCTCTTGAAATTCATGGCATTTCAACCAATCCCTTTTGATATATTTAAAATTGCTGAGGTACTGATAGTTATGTATGATTCTCTAAAACAAATGCGAAGCGTTTTTTAAGTTATCTATTCTTCCCAAGCTTATCAATCTATTCAAGATTTGTGTTGTTATTGTTTTTAAATCATGTTGAAGATATTTTTTTTTATTTATCAGTTTATAAAGTATTTATCAAAATCACAAACCATGGTTTAAACATACGCAATTGGCACCCATGCTAAGAAATAATGTAAAATGGGTGAAATATATGGTACCGTTCCGATAAAATATAAATTACATTATTAATAATTTTATTTTTTATTTATCTAATTTTCCAAAAAATACTTAAAATGTTAGATATTACAAATACACAGAATATGGTAATATCATTGTGAACTGTTACATAGCTTCCGATCACAGCACACAATGGGCGTGGTAAACTTTCAAGACATGTTTGTACAAAAAGCTTCTTCAATTTATGAAAATCACTAAATGAACATAAAACAAATAAATCTTTTTAATCAGTCATGCACATTATCTAAATTTCAGTATACAAATACCTGAAGACAAAAGCTTATGAGAAACATGAGTTGACCAACATGATCGAAAAAACAAAAGTAGAGTTGATTATACCGGAAAGCAACGAACTAATTGCTAATTTGTACGGCTAATCAACCAGCTACTGCAAGCATTTTGTTTTTTGCTCTATTTTGTTTCCGTATTCGCCAACCGTGCAGCCAGTATTTACACCCGGTAAGCTGATCCCGTTCAATTTTAAAATCAAACGATACGCCTGCCAAACAACATAAACACTATACTTATGAGATAGCGCAGTAGGCCGTGAAAATCGTACTTCGTCGTTGGAATTGTATCTCAGACAAGACAAAATGGCCGATCGCCACACAGCACCACCCAGCAACGGCGGCGTTGGAGTACAGAATAACAATCTTAACAAGATAATTTATGAATGCCCCAACCACGCCACGCACCCGTCATCGTCTTGTTTACTTTCCACTTCCACTCACTTGCCATCAATGGCCACCGTGGGTGTGGGTTCCTGATGAATCAATTCCGTTTTCGACAGAACACTTTTTTACGCCCCAATCAATTACCAGAAAGTAGACTAACATAGCCCAGAACGAATGGTGGCTCGAATTGGGCACTAGATGGAAACAGGCGTGGGAAAGAAAAAAAAAGCACGCTCATAAACTCTAAATCATCATGATAATCATAGTAGTCCGTCTGAATTAATCTTAAACGATAGGAAGCAAAGTTTCGATTTTCATATTGCTCTTACCGAGATTTATTTCCTTTTCACGGATTAGCTCCAAGAAGAACTAATTCCACTGCTGTTGTCAAATAAACAAGGATTCGAAGAATCGCCAGAGAAAATACTTCAAGTTTGTCATTGCACACTATGATTTTCTCAGTATTTAACTCATTTTCATACTGCCGGGAGAGCTTTGACAGCTGCGGTAGAACTCTACGGTAGCCACCGGATGGAATTATTTTAAATATTGTTCTCAATTGGACTGTGGCGACAAGAAATACTGGAGATCCTACGTCTACATCTGCGTAATTGTACCTTTGTACAATAATATTAATCATTCATCCAATCTTACATCCAACTCAATCACTGTGTGTGAGGTCCACTCGAAAAGTGTGTTGGGAAAATTTAGCGTTCACTTTGGGGTTTTATGATTGTTTTCGATTTAATCACATAACGGTCGATTATTGCTCTTTTCCGCTCCTTAACGTTCCGCGAGACAGAGGGTTTCCTCTCATTCAATTCCGCTGAATCCCGCACCGCTATAAATAATACATTTTACGATGTCATCGGTATGCTGCCAATCGTATTTTGGACATTTTCAGCAAATTTCAGGCAGCGAGTGAATGGTAGATGGTGAAAATCATGGCCTCCCACCATGATGGTGAATGGTGAAATCTTTACTCCATTTGAGTTCACTGGTCACGCCATCTTCTTGGGAGGGCGTACATTGAAAGTCAAGGGGGTTAATCAATTAGTTAATTAGGAGCTTATAACCTTATTATGCATACTGGTAAAATTAACATTAAGAAGCAAAAGAAGACACCTTAATAAAAGTCGAAATGCTTTACTCACTGTATACCCTTCTTCTTATTTTTCTTTCAGACGATCCTCAACTCAATGCACAAGTACCAGCCTAGATTTCACTTAGTCCGAGCGAACGATATCCTGAAGCTACCGTACTCGACGTTTCGTACCTACGTGTTTAAGGAGACAGAATTCATAGCCGTAACTGCATATCAAAATGAAAAAGTAAGCATTACTCCATCTTGATAGCTTGAGGAAGCTAAAGTATAACACATGCAATTCGATTCTCTTTTCCATATTCCAGATTACGCAATTGAAAATAGATAATAATCCCTTTGCAAAAGGGTTTCGTGATACCGGTGCTGGCAAGCGGGAAAAGAAGTGAGTATTCTTGTTGTGACATCGTTTGGCCTTACACCTGGGCATTAGCAATTCTGACAGGGATCAATTTGATCGAATTACTAGGGTTATCCTCCGGGTAATGATGTATTGGCACCGTAATGACCGTCCGAGTTGTCAACTGTCGTAAATTTCCATTAAATATGCATTCAGTCCAGATAATGACTTACGAAGAAAAAGTCCTTCATTCAAATTAATCTAAAATATTAACTCAGTTCTTTACAACATGTTGAACATCATTCACGCTATTTAAAAGAATTATAACCGTTAATTATATTATTCACCAATCAAGTTTTTGATGATCCATCACAATTCAAGAGTGATTTTTTAAATAGCCGTAGCTGCTTTTGTAAACAAAGATTCAAACTTCAATTTGTCGAAACTCTTAGTTCGCTGTCGCAAACTAACACCACCATAGAACCTTTGCCCTACCTGACAGTTTATTTAATTTGCGTGGGCGAGCTAACAGTTTCGACAAATTGGCATTTGAACCTTTATTTACAAAAGCGGTCAACACTTAACATGAACCAAACCTTTCATGTGACATATTGATCTACAGCATTGGCAGTAAAATTGATTTTCAGAGTTGGTTGGAAATGCTGTACTAATATCAATGTAAAGCTTTAGCGTGATAATTTATTGGCTAGAGAAAGTTCTGAAAAGGGTAGGTTGATAGTTACGCTAGAGTACGGCAGTGTGAAAATTGAATAGAAGTTGAAATTGAACGATGAACCATTAATGTGACAGTACTAGTCAAACGCACATTTCTTTACCTAGATTGTACATTAATGGATAAGGGGACTTGTGGTTTTTCCTCAAATCCACAGGCAAAAGAGTGCGCGTTTGATTTGCTCATATACTGTCTGCGGCTGTGGAATAGTTCTAGCGACGTCATGACCAACTTAGTCATCTCAGCGAGACAGCAGTAGAGTGGTGTTGCGTGCTGTACCATCATCAGCATTGTTGATGGTTACTCCCGCCTTGAGTTGTATTATAATTGTTGTACAGGGTTTTTTTTTTATTTATTTGAGCGATTTCAAAAATGTCGCAAAATTAAATAAAACACTCAATATGATAAGTAATCGTGCAGAACGATAGAGATCTCACAGCTACAAATTTTAGTACCATCAGTTTGTCAATTAATTTCTTTTAATGTACAAATTTATGTCTATACTTGACCAATTAGCCCCCGAATTACGGTACAGTTTTTATTCTCACAAAAGGGTTTATTTGTGTTATTGCAACAGTTGATTTAAAGTGCGCTTCAGTTAGAATCCAGAATCACAGTTTATTTTATAGCGTTGGCCATTGTCGTCTGATCTGGAATCATTTAACAGCTGTTTGTTTTGAAGATTTTCCTATTTCACTGCTGAATGTTTTGCTACGATTACGGTTAGTATAAAAAAAATTGTACCATTTAGAAAGCGGGAGATGAAAATTGTGCAAAAACCACAAAAAATGTGGAAATTGGCCAAATGAAAAAAAAATTACCATGGCACGAGGGTATGTCTCCGGCAGATTTAAACTAATTTCCGCCAACAAAATCTCCCAAAAGTTGATGATCCGGAAGGCTATGTACAGTTTGCAGCGCCGGTGGTGTAGTGGTAAGCGTGATCACATCTCACCCCAGCAGGCCTGGGTTCAATCCCAGTCGGCACCACTGGGATGTTCTGAAGAAAAGCCGTTGATCCCCGGTTCATGAGTTGATGAGTCGAAAGGTAGGGTCCAGGTGTGGTAGAGCTGCTTCCCTGGCGTCGGTAGCATTGGTGCTCAGCACGGAAAACAAGATAGACGGCAAACAAATCAAGGGGGAAAAAGGTGATACACAGCTGTGGTTTAATAACCACTGATTTTGTGACGAACGAGGTATAACCACACAAATAAAAATCTGAATATTAACCATCGCGTAAATTTCCCATTTAAATTTTCGCTATAGTTGGCATAAACAAAGTAATTGTTTACAAGGTTGTATATTGCGTTCAAATGTACATGAATATCGTCTAAATTTACGCTAAATTTGGCGTTAACAACTTGTACGTTAAATATCACAGAAATTTACACTAATTTTTCAAACGGTGCCAAGAAAAATGCACACAACTGTTCATTAACGCTCCATAAAGGGACTGTTCATAAACCACGTAGACTCATTTCGAAAGGCTTTAGAGTGGTTCATGAACAGTCCCAAAGGGTCTGTGAAGTTTTAGAAAGCTAACACTACAGCCGGGAGTTACTGCAGTGTACACCGGAGTGGATTTCATAGAGAAAGACATCAATCTTCAGAATTGCCCACAATCCCACCTGATCTAAAAGTATTGGGCGATTATCAAAAGGAAGCTCAAAGGACTGACAAGGTGACACGGGATGCTGTTGGTTACTTCTAAAACCTCTCTAAAGCGGTCTACATAGTTTACGAAGAGCCCCTTTCTTACATCAAACTAAACCCGTGATAGACCTGATTTCTTACTTTCGCATCCCTAATAAAAATAACAATAAAAGAGAGCTTAATGACGTGTTCGGGGTATCTTCCAAACCATTTGTGGGATAGTTTACCCATTCGTAATACAGGGGCGACCCCGGCGTAGTGGTTAACATCCATACCTCTCACGCCAAAGTCACGAGTTCAAATCTCACCCCCGGACAAGTCACGAATGACCCAAATCCGTAATACAGTTCGTTTATGGTATTTGTTTATTAGGGATTCTAACTTAAGCCTACTTTATTCAGCAAAAGTTCTCTTGTCACAAATAGGTTGTAGAATCTGCTATACAACATATTTCAGTCATAAGCAAGTTGTTGCTGTTGTTGATTTTCGTGAAATGTAACACAAGTTTTCTTGCAAGCCATCACCAGTACAATATCTAACGATAATTCTTTAAAAGCATTGTGAAAGTGATTGCAAAACCTCGAGAAAATTTTAGTGTGTTCTGATCAAATAGTAATAAGCAATCCACGTTTAGAGTTGTAGACCAAAACAAACATGTTCATGCGACCCTCCTTCAATTGCTATTGATCTGATCGCATATGTCACTTTTTTGCAACCGCAACAACTCCTGAAGACGTTGAAAACCACATTTGCACTCGCACACAGTCGCCTATTTTCCTCCGATATGCATAATTAACCACTCTCGGAAAGTATGCGATCCCACCGCCACATTCCAGACTTCAACTGCTGAAGAAGTCAAACCGCAGCAGGCAAACCTATCCCAACCGACGACGGCGTGAGGGGTCCGCTGGTATCTTCACCGATACACAGTAGGCGCGCCGTGCAGCCGTCAGCCGTCCATCGTCGATAGGCAAAATTGTTGCCTTCCTGCGACAATTTTAATTAAATTACACAAAACATCAATTGAATTAATTCCCTCATCAGAGTGCAGTGCCATGCCCGCGCCAACCGTCAACCTTGGTGGCTGGACAAAAGTGCTGAGCAAAATCACGCGCTTTGTCGAGGGTGACAAATAGGAGAGATACGGCCTCAAACCCGGGCGACCCCGGGGGCGATCCGTCGACAGGCCGCTTATAAATAGACAATAGGGCGATAAATTATGTAACGCCCGAGTTGCAATGCGAATTCCGCCCGGTTAACATTCCTTTTTTACTTCACCAAGTTTAAGCGGGACGATGGTCGTGCACACAGACAAGAGAGCTGAAAACCAGATGCAAACTGCCGTCCGGAATCAGACTCATCACAACCCTGGACGCCTCGGGGATTCTCTTTTTTTTCGTACGCTGTCTCCGGAACAATTTCTTTGACTTCCGCCTGGACTCGTACGGCATAGTGGCGTCATTGTTCCCCATCTGCTCTCCGATTCCTGCATACCAATCCGATGCGATGTGTCTGCACATACCGGATTGCTCTCGGGGTTAACTGTGAGGGATCCTACCGACGACACAGAAGTGGTTCACCACAAATCGGCGTCAATTTGGCATTGGAAAAACGGTAAACGGATGGGACATTCAACAGATCAATTGCTGGAAACAAAACATGTGTCGCACTCTAGCAAGCTGGAAACATTTTTTTGTGTGTCAAAACGTAGTTAAATGTCTAGTATTTGAAAGAACCTGGCAATTGTATTTTTGTCGAAAGATTTACCCTTGCCAGCTTGCAGTGCATAGGTACTGCGTTGTCGGCGAATTGATCAAAAGGGTGAAATATCGCTTCACTCAGCATGCAACGAAGGAATCAAACGACGACGACAACGTCCGGGCGCAGCATGCGACGAGATTGTGGGAATTTTTGTGATTAATTTCGCTGGCAAAGTGTGGCGTTATTTTCGGCTTCGGTGGATGAAATTTGTAACCCATTATTTGAGACGGAGGGAGAAACAGAGTGTCAAAATATTTAGCGACGAATGAGTTATGGATTTAACGAGTGTGTGCGGATCAATTAGAGTGTCGAAGAGTTAAGTGAGCTGGAATTTGATACGTTCCATGCACGCGAATCGCTACCACATCCCAGCGGGGAATTTTGTGAGAGGCTTATATTTATACAGAGAAGTCCCGTTGTTTGCGGATGGAGTTTTAGCCGGTATTCCCTTTCCCATTTCCTACAGGCAAAACAAATGTTTCTTACACTCAATGTAAGGTTGGATTTATTACATCGTCTGCAAATATATCACTGGAAGTTCTTGGATTGAGCTACAGCGTACAAGCAAGTTTTTCCAGAATGCATCATTTTGGATAAAACCTTCACGAGATAATTTTCTAGATGCAAATTTTGAGAAACAAACAAACGTCATGGTAGTCAGAATACTGACTGCAAATGGTATCCTTCTTACCGTAAACCGGGTATCCAGGAACATTATTACTGGGTTAAACTCCAACTGCAAACAACGGTACCTTTCTGTACCTACTTCAATTCCGTATTGATTTTCTCGCGCAATCAGGATGCTATATGGACTCTTGCTCGCAGCAATGAATCACTGTTGTTGATAATTGAAATCCTGTTAAGTGCAGTTATACATCAGGATCAGATTACATAGTTG